ACAAGATTAATAAGAATACATTAAGGGTCACATTATACCTATGTAATTAATTTTAAATCTACTTTTAGGAATATCCAGTATATCCATATGCAGTGTTTTAATCAGGAAACATTAGAATCGTCTATTTATACAGATATCTGGGACCTTAAGAAATATTTGAGACATTTTATAACCCACCATAATAGCCCCATCTCTCTTCAGTTCTGTTTATTTAGAATGCAAACAAATAGTGTTTTAAATTGTCTACCAATTGTAGTAAACACCATAATAAATGCAGTAGTCACCTGAGTTTTATACATTTCAATAAGGGTTTTCTGGTTTTTTTCTACTTCTTGCAATTCTAGTAGTTCATTTTCAACAGAAACAACTTCATCCTTCAAAGAAGCAAGTGTAGTCTAGCAAAAAAGATATAAATAGATTTTATAAGTCATTAGAATACATTTATACTCCAGTGCTAAGGAATTATTATAAAAACATAACTCATGTATTAACAAAGTTAATAAAATAATTATTTTTGATTTCATGCAATTACCATCTAAAATTTAGAAATTTCAAAAAGTTAATAACTAATACTCATGAACAACCTTATTAAGATTTACACCGGACACATGATTTTTAAAACTTTTAAAGTTTACTGACAAAAAAAAAAAAAAAAAAAACTTGGAAAAGTAGACCATGTTCCTAGATATGAAATATAAATACTGTTGACATTATCAGTTTTTTCCAAATTAATTTAAAACCACAATTTCAAACAAAAGTATAACAAATGGGGAAGAATATGACAAAACTAATTTAAAACTAATATAGAAGACTAAATAGGAAAGAGTGACACCATTTTGAAAGGAATACTAAGTGAAGAATCTCAGTACTTAGTAGATATTAAAATGTATAAAAAATTAAAATTATTAAGATACTAACATTTGAATATAGAGGTTAATAAAAAATAAAAATACACAAAAATTATACTTAGTACATGATAAAGGTTATATTTTTAAATCAGTGGAGGAAACATGGACCACTAAATAAATGGCAATAAGACAACTGTTTATTAGAAAAAAATAGGTTAACTACCTGCCTCAACCCAACACTAAAGAAGCATCAAATGAATCAACTAAAAACTTTTAAAAATTTTCAGACAATTTGGTAAAACTTTATTCCTTTTCAGAATAGCAAAAATCCTAAAGAGCATAAAATTAAAGGAAGATATAGAGAAATTAAAAGTCTGAGATTTTATCTTCCTTGCAAGCTTACTAGTTAGCCTACTGCAGTTTCATGGATGCTAGCAGAAGGAACAAGATTCCTGGATCAGATGCAGGGGACTTAGTACCCACAGCAATAGGAGTAGTAAGACTGTCAGCAATGGTATCAGTTTCCTGAGCCTCAATTTCTACAGAGCAACCCAAAGAGGCCAGGTGGCAACTGCATGTGCAGTCAAATGCATTACAGAAGAAGAAACCTGAGTTTAGGAAACCCAAATTTCTTACAGCAGGCAGTGAGCATGTCTAACCCATGCTCCTAAGGGAGACATAGTTATCATATTCCAAGGATATCTACTATAAAAGCATCCTTGAAAAGACAGTCTACATGGACAATGTCTCTGCTTACAAGATGTGCACAACTGTGAGAGCACTCTCGAAAGAAGCCATTTTTAAAAATGTGAGTGTATCTCTCTCCAAAGTTTCATAGCTTTCCAATACAAACAAAATATGAACAAAATATTGGCAAATGACAAATTGGATGTCTTGTCAAATGACATTTGTCATTAGCAAAATAAAACAATTAGATTAATATGCTTAATATATAGTTATATATTAATTAGGACAAAAGACAAATATAAAAGATAATAAGTAGGTAATTCAAAAAAGCATAAATGTGAATGATCGATGAATACATGAGCCAATACGTTCACTAGTTATTTTTTAAAATGTTGTAGGCACTGAAGTTTCTATTAGTGAACAAAACAGACAAAATGCCCTTCCTTTACAAAGTTTACATACTGGAGGGGCGGGCAGACAGACAAAAAACAAGAATAAGCAGTAAAATATATCAAACGCAAAAGCAGCTAGGAATGACGTGAGGGAAGGCCTCCTGAGAAAGAGACTTTTGAGTAAAACTGACAGAAGTGTGTCTGTTTAAGGGAAAAATATTCCCTTCAGGGAAAAAGGCAACAGTGGGAGGAAGCCTAGCAAGTTAGGGGAAAACAAGAGAGCCAGTGGAGTAGAAATAAGAGAAAAAAGGGGAAGAATGGAAGGAGATGAGAGAAGAAGAATAAGAGAGGTAATAGAAAACTAGATGCTATAATGCCTTGTAGGTATTTATTAACCAAGATATCTCTGAGCAGGGTGGGGTTGAGCAGAGGAGTGGCATGGTCTGATTACATTTTTATAAAAACAGCTCCACTGCTATACCGAATGCTGCCTGCAGGGGCCAGGGCCAAAGCAAGGAGAATGGTGAAGAGGTCACAATAACAATGAGAGATGATGGAGGCTTGAATTAGGGTAACAACAGTGGTGCTGGTGAGAAGTGGTCAAATTCTTAATATACTTGAGGTAGATTTGATAACAGACTGGAAGCAATGTATGAAAGAAATGATGATTTTCCATTAACTGGGATGAGAAAAACTGTAGAATTAACTATTTTGAGAAACATCAAAAGCTCCATTTTGGACCTGACAACTTTGAGACACCTATTAAATTTCAAAATGGAGATGTCAAGCAGGCAGCAGAATATATGTCTGGAATTCAGGGGTAAGGTTAGATTAGAGATATAAATTTGAAAGCCTAGAGCACACAGATGGTATGTAAAGCCACAAGACTAAATGAGATTACTTATAAAATTTGGAGAGACTTGTTTTAAAATTAGTACTTTTAATTACCTAGTACTGGAACATGTATAGGGACTACTTTACTTATGGTATACACATTTATGATGGGCAATTTGGAAATACAGAACAATATTAAAAATGAGTCTGTCTTTTGACCTGTATCATACAAGTAAATATATCCTAAGAAAACAGATAAGCAAAAAAGACTCAAAAAACATTTTATTTACAATAGTAAAAAACTGGAAGTAGCATATATACTACTTTTAATTAATATGTATATTAATATATACATATATTAATAAAATCAAAAATTATATATACTAAAATATTAACTTCAGTTATCTTTCAGTTATGAGATTACAGATGACTTAATTTTTTGTGTGTTTTTCTGTTTTTTCTAACTTTCTATAAGAAACAAATACAACTTTTTAACCTTCCAAATAAACTTTCTGTTGTGTCTAATACAGGAGATTGCTGGGCCTTGGAAGCAGTATTCACAGTTTATTTTTCATTTGCAACTTTAAAATCCAAAACTATTCTAAAGTAATTAAAAGTAATAAAACATAAACATCTAGGCTGCAAAAAAAACTGCATTTACACTGCAAAAAACATATGCCAAACTATTTAAATATTTTCCTTAAAAATCCAGAAAAGAATGCATTAAAAATACATTTCTTAATTATTAATAGGATATGCTAAAATACAAACTTTAACTCAATGACTTCTGTAGTCTATATAATTCCTTCATCATTTTATCAAAAACTAGTTTATAATTAATATCTTTCTAATTCTTTCTCTCTGAAGGATTTCAATAAGAAAATAAACATGAAAAATGGCTTCTTCTTTCCAAATAGAGCAATTTAAGCATTCATTTAATAAATACTCATTTATAATTAAGTATATGTCACACCATCCCTGGGCAACCTGTGTGTACATAAAGATAGGAGTTTACAAGGAGAGATTCACTGAGAAGAATTTGGAAGGAATTTGGGAGGAAGAATTTGGGAGGAAGTAGCATTAGAGCTAAATTTTAATGGAAAGGTAGGATTTAGATACTGAGAAAAATAGCATTCTAAAGTATAAGAATAGGAAAACTATAGGAGTAGAGGCAGAAAATATGAAACAATTGCAGAAAATCAGTATTCATATTTGTCTAGAGCTTTGAATAACTAGAAGACTACATTCCCTAGTCTCCCTTGCACCTAAGTGGGAGTCATGTGCCTAAATAAGTAAAAGAGTCAAGTCATATGGGAATTTGGGGAAGGTTCCTTAAAGGGGAGGAAATTATTTTTTAAAGGAAGGTAATGCATTTTTGTTTTCCTCCATCCTGTTGCTTGAAACTTGACTACAATGATTGGAGCTCCAGCATCTATTCTACATCATGAGAATGAGGGTCATGACCTAGGGATGGCAGAACAGAAAGCTAAAAAGCTAAAGAGCCACATCAGCTTTGAAGTGCCAACTCTGGACTTTTTCTGCATAATAACTATCTCTATCTTACTTAAGCCACTTAATTTGGGTTTTCTGTTATATACAGTGAAGCTGAATCTTAACTAATATAAGACTTGCTGAAATATTTAAAATACTTCCCTAGAGTGCTAGGGTATTTTGTTTTCTGGAATTTTCCAAGACATTTTCTGGCAAACTTTATATAACTTAAAATGTGAGACAAATCAAATTTCTAACTATAAAATGTGAACAAGATTGTGTCTAGTATTCTTTTCCTGTCTTCTTCCAAGTTCTAATTCTGGCTTTGCCACTAAACTAGTTGTATGATCTTGTGCAAGTTATTTAATCTCTCTGAGCTTCAATATATTCATCTATAATTAAGAAAAATATCTTTATTATAGTATTACATGAGAATTAGAAATTAAAAAAATGTAAAGCACTTATCAAGTGCCTCCTACATTAATGGTAATTGACAAATAGTAACCATTATGGTTGCTACTCTCCAGAGTCATTTATTAAATGACTAATATATTCCAGGCACAGTACTAGGCACTAGAAGTAATGGGAGGATAAAACAATCCCCGGTATGTGGAGGATGGAGGGAAGAACAGCCCTCAGAGGGAGACAAATTATACAAACAAGTAAGTATAATGAAGTTCTACCCGCAAAATTGATATAGAGAGAATAAAGCACAGAAAAAAATGGGGAAAGGTTAGTAATGTGCCCTATCCGAGAGAATGTCCTAGGTTTAAGGAGTCTTCTTCTGGAGAACTAACCACATTTTAAAATCTCCCTTCATTCCCAAGACCAAACTAATATAAAGAAATAAGATGTTTATAAATCAACTTAATAAAAATAACAGACCAGGGGTCATCAAAGGACAAAATATTTTTAATGCTTCTGGAGAACTGATGACTAACTAATGAATCAGGAGGGTCTTTAGCTAAGGAGGAAGTTCATCCACCTGCTGAATCTAGAGAGGCAAAGGGTTAAGGGCAAGAGTGAGACTTAGATTTGAAAAGGATTAATTCAAAGCTGATGAATAGAACAGCTGACTACCACTACCCTCTACCCCCTACTCACACACTCAAGGCAGAACACCTGGAACTAGCAGTTTACTTCCTAACAAACAAAAATAAGAAAAGTCCTTCTCTAAAGAACTTGAATTAACTGTTTGGGAAGAACAGAGGGATGGTGTTGGTGACCCAGAGCAAAGACGGGTCATTTGTATTTTGGCATTTTTTAGGGGCTACCAGTAAACTGCTAGTTTCCCCATAGTTGAGAAAAGTGAAGTGAAACCAGTCAAGTGACAAGAACAATCCACACATCCATTTAGTTTTCTCTTGTTTTGCTAGTCTTTTTATTGTCTCATTTGTAAATTCTTAAATGTCAGAGTGGCTTGCATCTGTAATCCCAGTACTTTGGGAGGCCAAGGTGGGAGTACCACTTGAGCCCAGGAGTTCAAAAGGCCAGGAGCCTTGGCAGCATAGTGAGACCCCACCTCCACAAATGCACACAAATTAGCCAAGTGGTGGCATGTGCTGTGGTCCCAGCTACTTGGGAGGCTGAGGTGGGAGATCACTTAAGCCTGGGAGATCGAAGCTGCAGTGAGTTCTGATAGCACCACTGCACTCCAGCATTGGCAAAAGACCAAGATTCTGTCTCAAAAAGAAAAAAAAAAAAGTGCCAGGAGGAAACAAATAAATTGAAACGCTGAAAAGAAAAGAGAAAAAAGAGAAATCCTTATAGGTATTTTTAAATACTTGACAATAGGAACACTTGGGGAATACTTTTTTAAATTCTTGGAAATTAAACTTTTAAAAGATGGATTAGAAGATAATGACTAAAGAAGTCTGCCCCTAAAATTGAACAAAAGCCAGAAATTGAAGACAGAGTATCCATTTATGAGGTCCAACAAATCAACAATACATTCGGTAGTACACCCAGACAGAAAGACTGGAGAAAATGGAAAGGGGCAGGAGAGAGCATTACCAAAGAAATAATATAAAAGAATTTCTCAGAGGTAAAGTAACTGAGTCTTTGGATTTACAAGGTCTACAAAGTACTTAGCACAAAGAACTGGAAGACACAACTAGATGCGTGTGAAGTTTCAAAACGTCAAGGATATGGGAAATCTCTTGAAAATTTCAAGAAAAATAAAAAATGTCTCTACAGAGGAATAAGTATCAGACTGGTGGCAGATTTTCTCTACCAGCAACTCTGACTTATAGAACACCGTGGAGCAAAGCCTTCAAAGTTCTCTGTAAAAAATTACTTTCAATCTAGGATGCTATACCCAGCTGAAACCATTAATCAAAATGAGGACAGAATAAAGGCATTTTTAGACATGTAAGACCATTTAATGTTTACTTCTTACTTTCTTTTTCTTAAGGGAATACTATTTGCAGATATATTCCAGTAAAAAGAAGAAGAAGAAACAGGATGTGGGATCAAGGAAACAGTGGAACCAGGATAGCAATCAAGAAAATTCCAGCATGGCATCTGGGCAGCAGGCCTAGAGACCAACTCATTCAGATGAAACAAGAAGACAGAAGGTCCCAAGTAGAAGAAATCTGGGGAAAATGGGTTCTTCAGAGAATAGAGATAGGATGAAGAATTTCAAGAAAAAGAAGAAAAAAAAAAAAAAAAAAAAAAAAAAAAAAAAAAAAAAAAAAAAAAACAAGACTATGATAAGGGCAAAGAGTACAACAAGCAGGGTTTTTGGAAACTCCAGGAAAAATTTAAAAGTTGTAAAATTTAAAAAAATTATAAACATATTACTTGACTGTGTAGTGAAAGAACAACTATAAAAGTCATTGTTATTAATATTTAGAATCAGTCTATGAAAAGAGCACTTTGGGTTACAGAACAACTTATCAATTTAACCATACTGGCAATGTAAAAGGAAATTGCAAAGTGAACATGGGGAGAACAGGTAATTGGAAAATATACTTATTTTCCAAATAAAAGGTGAAGATATATAATCTGTCCTATTTCACTTTTCTGTCAAGTGAAGCTCATCTTACAGTATTGGTAAGCAGGGGAATGATGTATAGCAAAGAACTAACTTTTGTTCAGATGTAATTTTTTCTAGTTTGTTAATTAATTGTCTGAACCACGTAAAAAACATCAGCTGAATACAAAGTGCACAAACACAGCTGAACACAGCAAGCCACAGAGATACACAGCACTCTACATAAAGCCCATATACTCCATGTTCCTCCTCCTCTTTCTTCTCTTTGGTCATGAGCCCTATCTTGGAAGTGCTTATTGTATATTGCCCTTATGTTCATATCTTATATCCATAAAAAACTCTTTTAGCTTCCTATATCAAGCTACCTTCACTTATTTTTTAAAAAGGATAAAGTTATATGTTTGTTGTAGTATTTTTTAGGAATTTAACATGCCTTTTTAGTTGTATTAGTATTTATATTATCATTTATGTTAGCGCTCTACTAATTAGAAAGTCAATATAATTGACCAAATTTGATAAATCAAGGTATAGTAGCATAAATATATAATTTAGATATATGCAGATAACCATCAGAGGAATAAAAATATAAATTGTTTAGAAATTCATTTTTACCTGCCAAATTAGCAGACACTATAAGTAAAAAAATACATTTCATTTCCCATGCTGATGGGGTATAGAGAACTAATGGCAATAAAATACGTTTTTAGAAGAAATGTAGCAAAGCATATCAAGAACATTCAAAATGTTCATATTCTTTGAATCAATAATTCTACATGGGAATATAATCTAAAGACAATACAACAAAAAGTTTATGTGCAAAAAAATTCATCAGATCATTATTATTATTAAATGTTAAAAACGTTGGGAATAACCTGAATGACTAACAAATAGGGAATCTCCTAACACTTCTACATGGAATATATATTACAGAGTAATTAAAAAAGATGCTTATAAAGAGTTTATATGTTATATACATATTACATCTGTTTCCATTTTAAAGTGAACAAGGCAAGACATTATTTTAATGACAACTATGAAAAAAACAGAAGTATTACAAAATACCATTATCTCCAAGAACTATGGGATCAGTGATCATTTTGTTCTTTTCTTTCTATATTTCTACAGTTTCCAATTTTACTGTAATGAGTATATATTTGTCACTCAAAAGATAACACTGAATAAACTGTTGGAAGTTGGAGGAACTATGTTCATTGAATAACTGAACTTTTATTAAGAAAACACAAGAAGTTCATATTTCTTGAAGGACTATAAAGGACTTACAAAATTTCTTGAAGGAAAAAGTTCTAATTCAGAATAATGTCACCGCTAAAAAAAATGGTATTAAGGTAAATTGCAATTTGGATTTTTTAAAGTCTTTGCTAACAAAAAGTAGCCAAAATAATTGTATTACTAAATACATTAAAGGTGAGAAAAGAAGACCTTGCTACTTTCTATGATGTATATGACTTAGATTACTATTTCCTCCACTAACTCCTGAATGAACACAGCCAACAGGACTGGCAATTTCAAGTCCTCCACTTCAAACTAGTAAGAGTCTTTCCACTTGGAACAAAACAGGCTTGAGATTTGTGAACCTAGCCTTGTCCCATTGGTCTAAAGGAGATTAAAACTCAACATCAAGATGAGAAAAGTTATCAACTTTATAAACCTACAACGGGAAAGAATCTTTTTGGCTTGGGCAATCTGTTGTCTTCTGCAATATATAATAAACAACCTTTAATTACTATACATTGTACTGCTTAACACTATGTATCTCCCGCAAAGACAGATCAGTATGTAGACTATAGATTGGCTCCTGGGAAAATATGCTAAGACCTACAATGGATAAAATTCTTTTTCCAGCACATGACATTTTAGACATATAGCGAAATAAGGGTTTAGAAAGAGTAAAAGATATTTGGATGTATCCCCAGTTTCCTTCAGAAAAGCAATCTTTTAAAAAAGCATTTAACCGCACCTGGAAAAAAAATAAAAAATAAAAAAGCAATTCAGAACCTTAAAGCCTGGAATGCTATCATTTTATTAAAATAATTTCCTTTGGTGATGATTTTTAAATTATGTATATTTTTTCTCATAAACAAACTCATTTTTAAAAAGCCACTGCAGTTTTTATATGATGTCTACATAATTCTAAACAGACAGTAATTATGTTTCCAAGAAACCAGTGCATTTCTAATGCAAAACAAACAAACAAAAACAAACCTTAACTCAGAAAAAAAAAAAAAAAAGCCTTAGATCTTCACTTCTAACATTAAATATTTTTTCTCTCAAGGATCATGAAACATATCTGCAACATCTTTTAGGAATTTAACATGTATTAAGAACATCTTAATACACAGAATAAATGTATTATTTAGTTAATTCTAAATACAGTGATAGAATTAAACTGTTATGAATACAACAAAACAATGTTAGATGCTTATTTTACAAGTTACTCTAAAATGTACTCTAGCTACTAATACATTATTTATCCTGTGCACACAAACTTTATTTCATGGTTTAAAAAGATTCTTTTCTGTCTTCTATTTTCTGTCCTCTAAAAATATTGTTATGGAAGTGAAAATCATGCCATCATCTTTCAAGTTCCATCTGGTCCTTATATGTATCTCTGGTTGACTGTAAACTCAAATATCTTTTTTTCCCCACAAAGAAAAGCTTCTCCCCTGTCTCTCTTCTGGTACCTATGGAAAGCAATTACCAGTCGGATTTGAGCAAGCTGGAAAATTCTTTCTGGTTATAAAGCAGCCAAGAACATACTTTCTGGTTTCAAACAGACCAGGCCTGAGGCTATATCCTATCGTAACCATGACACTCAGAAATAATCTTATGTACTAAAGTTAATGTAATTTGGATGATTCATTTAACTGCTAAAATTGGATAGTAAATCATTTATTTTAAAAGTTGAGGCAAAGAGTCAACTTCATAAATCTTATTTAGTACTGCTGAAAATACATCCTGACAAGCATAAAAGACAAGAGCACTGTACTAAACATACTCTTTCTTCAAGCTACTTCTATTAAGTAGACTATGGTCATTACATAACATATGCCTGCACAAACATACATACACAGTACCTTTAATTTTGTATTCTGAAGATTCAGAGTTTCATTTTCATATTCAATTGAGTGAATTTTTCTAAGAATTTCTTCACATGAATTTTTTCCATGGTCTTCCATTTTCTTCAAATCTTCCAAAAGATTAATGATTTGCCTTTATAAAATAAATGAATATTTTACAAAAGTCATAAAAATTTTTACTCAAACAATATATTTTAAGTGTGTTTCTGAAATAACTTTGGTAGGGTGTATTGTTTCCAATAGGGAATATACAAAAAATAAACAGAATTCATAGAAGAGCAAAAATAGGAAGTCGTAATCTAAAAGGGTACAACCAAAGCAAATCATTAGAAACAATTACCCACTGATGATTCTGAGGAAAAATTATACAACGTGCTCTTTGCTGTTCAATAAAACTTCTAAGCTATTATCCACAAGTATGCACATCTCTCTCTTCCTCTCATACACATGCACAAATTTACACACAATTTTAGGGACAGGTTAAAGAAAAGAATCAAGGCAGTAACAGCCAATCTTTAGACATGAATTATATATGGTAGTTTTCAATGACAAAACTGAACAGAAGACACAGAAAACACTTAAAATCAAATATTCAGGGTTCGTTATTGTGTTATGAGTAATACATTTCAAATAATAAAATACATGCATTTTTACTTTGCATTTTCTTTGTTATGCATTTAAGTCACTTGAATTAAGGAACAATAATTTTTAGGATTTTCAAAACAGTTATAAATTTTTAAATATATTTTTACACATTTTTGTTTAAAAGAGAACATCAGCTCCATTTAAGACAAATATTAACATTTACTACAAATAATAGATGGCATACTGAAATAATGAATGATAATCTACAAGTTTAAAATTTCAAAATGTGAACACCAATTCACTTTTAATGAGCAATCATTTTAATTATTTTTAATAGTAGAGTAAGAAAACTTTATAGAATTATAAATAGGAAAATATCAAATCACGTAATTAGCACCTTTACCATATATAATCTTAAAAAATCAAAATACAAACAACTCAAAGAGTTAAAAGAAAAAATGAGAACTCTTACTAAATAATAAAAGATTCTAAATTCCTTCTTACTTTTTCATGGTTTCAATCTGTACTTCCAATTCAGTTTTTTCTATTACAATTTTCTCATAATGACTTTTCCAGGCATTGGAAGCTGAAATTGTTTCAGACAACTTGACTTCCTAAAGAATACATAAAAATACTCATCCTATAATTTTAAAATATTTTTGTTTTGTTCAGAAATCTAAACACAAATACATTATAAACAAGGAAGCAGTCATCTAAAAAGCATGAAACTTTCAATACAGAAAATTGTACACACATGTTTATAGCAGTGCAATTCATTATTGCAAAAATATGGAACCAGCCTAAATGCCTATCAACAAATGAGCAGACAGAGAAAATGTGGTACATATCCACCATGGAATACTACTCAGCCATTAAAAGGAACAAAATAATAGCATTTGCAGTAACCTGGATGAAGTTGAGATCACTATTCTAAGTGAAGTAACTCAGCAATGAAAAACCAAATATCATATGTTCTCACTTACAAGTGGGAGCTAAGCTATGAAAATGCAAAAGCATAAGAATAATATAATGCACTCTGGGAATTGGGGGGAAGGGAGGGAGGGGAGTGAGGGATAAAAGACTACACATTGTGTACAGTGTACAGTGCTCGGGTAATGCGTACACCAAAATGTCAGAAATCACCACTAAAGAAGTTATCCAGGTAACCAGAAACCACCTGTCCTGTAAAAACTATTGAAATAATTAAATAATGTAAGTAGACAACTTTGAATAGGAACATTTTAAAGTATCTATATTGCTATCATTTTATATACACATAGTGGAAGTTTCAACCTAACACTTTAAAAGATGTTACAACTATTTTTAAACAATATTTCATAATTAAGATAATTTCTTTTCTTTTTACTGAACATTCCATTTTTTTTATTCTTTTGCCCTGGCTGAAGTGCAGTGGTGCAATCATGATGGCTCACTGCAGCCTCTAACTCCTAAATGTAAGGGATCCTCCTGCCTCGGCCTCCCTATCAGCTAGGGCTACAAATGTGTGCCACCATAGCTACTTCATAGAGGTCACCCCATCAGCCTTCGAACACTGCTACTGTCCACAAAGATATAAAAGTGGTACTAGTGGCTTATCCATTTTGAATGTGAACTCCATGAGGTAGGGATTTTTATCTGCTTTTGTTCATGGCTGTATTTCTAGGGGCTTGATGGATAGAATCTGGAGCACAGCAAACAATAAATAGCTCAAATAACTCTCTGCAGATCCACCTAAAGAGCTGTGCCTCCTGTCTACATTCTACAGAAAAACAAACACACTGGAAGGCAACAATTCCAGTAATTATAAATCAAAAGGCCCAGAAACAGTAATGATAACAATTAACATGTATTGGGTTTTTCTTTCTTTCATCATTCATCCATTTACTGAACAAGTATTTACTGAGAATCTATTACGCACAAGACTTCTTAAAATTTTTTCAAAGTAATACTTTTGATATACTGAATTACTAGTTTGTTTTCATAGTTTGTATATGAAAACATATTGTTTTCATATTTTGTATAAAATAAGCTTTAATATAAATTGTGAAGTATAAGTTTATAATGTAAATTGAGATATTTAGAAGGTTTATCAGTAAGAAAAGAATTTATGTATTAGCAATATAATTATTACCTACTTCATTAGTATGACATTCCCAGATGTTGAAACTAGTCAGTGATGGAATCACCTTCCTAGAGATTTTTTGAGTTGGCCTACCTTTTCTCTTTACTTTAGAAAAATGGCACATCTAAGCCACCAGAAGCAAAAAGAGGATCTGTCTAGTTTTCAAAGAAGGAAATGGGATAATTCTTCAGTGTGCAGAATTATAGAGCATTTAACATCCTGGCCCCTGGGCACTAAATGTCAGAATCAGTTCTCTAGTACTTTCAAAATCCCCATTTCTTCTTTCATCTGTCCTTATAACATGCACATATAAAGCAAAATCCCCCTTTTAACCTTTTCTTCCACTGCATTGAAACTGCATCTGAACTAGTACTAGTGACCTCCTAATTACCAAAGACCATAGACCATAGACCCTTACAAATCCTCCTTGTCCTTGATCTCTCTTTCTGTAGTCCTTGGTAAAATGTAGGCATTGTGTAGATATGTGATAACATTTTGTTAAACTATCGTTTAGCCCTTGTTGTTGAACTGTTCATGTTTTAGACTTAAGACACTGTTTTAAATAATGGTACCCTTACCTTATGTGAACAGGATAGTAAGCTCCTGCCTTCTGAGACTTATATTCAAGTAGAAGTAAACAGTTAAAAATTAAACAAAACACAACAGCAATGATAAATGGAAAAAATAAATGATATGGTTTCAGATTATAGTGAATGCTATTAAAAAAAAATTAAGACATTGATATGATTGTTTTGGGACTACTTCAAAAGGATTGTCAAGAAAGGCCTCTCTGAAGAGATGTCAATTGAAAAGATACCTGAATGGTTAAAAAAAGAAAGAGCTATTGTGAGCCAGAGAAGAACATTAAAGCCAGAAGCAACAACAAACAAGAAAAACAACAAAACAAACACTTCATGCATTAAAGGAATAGAAAGGAGGACAGTGCAAAAATATATTTTCTTATTTATTTCTCCCTGCAAACACATGAGAAAGGGAGTATTATGATTCCCTATTTTATACATGAGAAAATTGAAGCCTAAAGAGGTTAAGTTCCTTATCCAAAGTCACAAGGTTAACAATAGGGACAGTCTTACATCTGGGGTGTGGTAGTGATGCTATTTAAGTAAAATCCCCCCAAGAATGTTAACAACTCAATTAGTTTTTACTACTCAAGAATCTTTTCAGGCCTTCAACCAGGTCTACAACTTTCTAGACTTTAAACCTAGTCTTCAATGTTTTTATCTAGTTAAATTCTTCTGATGATAGGTTAAATATTAAGCCTTAGAATGTTAATGCTTGAGCTTATAAAATAGTATTTTGTTTGCAATAGGCTTTTATACAAGTCTGTTTTCATTTCTGAAAGCCTATAAAAATTCTATAAGCCTTAACATTAGTTCTTAAGAAGCGAGATATCAGTGAGACATTTTTTAGTAAAATCAATTCGTAATTGAATAAATATAATAATTTGTCAAAAATAACAAAACGCTATGCCCATTTTGAAATTTGTACTATAGCCAAAGATATATTTTACATGGCGAGTTTATTTCAGCATATGGTTTTAAATGTATTACAGAGATTAAATGAGGTTACTGAATAAAGTCATAGGGTCAAATGACATAAATCAGCATTTCTCAAACTAGTGTTCCTCAGAACCAGTTCCAAGAGTTGCTTTGCGGGTAAAGGAATAGCTCTGTGGTTAAAAAAGTGTGGGAAATACTTAGTTCAATACCCTTCACTCCACTGTTTCTGAAAGCCTTCTCAGAGCCTTTAATTTGCTAACATGGACAATAATGTTCCAAGCGAAAATATGTATGAAGTATTACCCTTAGTTAGTTGGCCAATAGAACCTTTTTTGTGCCTGGGGCAGGGGACACACTTAATATTTCCTGTAAGTAAAGTTCCCAAGGAAATGCTGATATATTTCAATATGAAAATTTGACATTTTATGTAATATTCCAAAATAAAAGATTAAAGCAAAAAGTGCTGTTTTTCTGATATTAATAGCATTAAGAGAATAAAATTACTATATTAAGCATCATGATATTATATAAACTAAGTACATAAAATATATCTTTTAAAAAGAATGTATTTACATACCTGATCTCTAATTTGGGAAGTAAGCTTTTCAATAGCTCCTGTAAAATGGTCAAGCCTTTGTTTGTAAACTTTAGATGCCTTTTTTAAAGCTACAGTTTTTTGCCTGTTTTCTTCTTTCATCACTACAGCCTCATTCTTATTCATTCTCAGTTGCAGGTTCCACTTGGCTATCTTGGTTTCTAAGCTCTAAAAAAATAAATAAATAAATAAAATGGCAACAATTAAAGCGTTTCAGAACTCCAATTTTATGTAAACACTGTAAAAATATGTATATAACTGATATAGTATGTATATTAGTCCATTCTCACACTGCTATAAAGAAATACCCAAGACTGAGTAATTTTAAAGGAAAAAGGTTTAATTGACTCACAGTTCCACATGGCTGGGAAGATCTCAGGAAACTTACAATCATGGTGGAAGGCAGAGGGGAAGCAAGGACCTCCTCCACATGGTGGCAGAAGATAAAAGAGTGAGGAGCAAAGGCGGACGAGCCCCCTACAAAACCACCATATCTCATGAGAACTCACTGACTGTCATAAGAACAGCATGGGGGAAACCAACTCCATGATCCAATCACCTCCTACCAGGTCTCTCCCTAGGCATGTGGGGATTATAAGGATTACAATTCAAAATGAGATTTGGGTGGGGACACAAACCACAGCATTTTGCCCCTTGCCCCTCCCAAATCTCATGTCCTCACATTTCAAAACACAGTCATGCTTTTCCAACAGTCCACCAAAGTCTTAATTCATTCCAGCATTAACCCAAAAGTCCAAGTCTAAAGTCTCATCTGAGACAAGGCAAGCCCCTTCTGCCTAGGAGCCTGTGAAGTAAAAAGCAAGTTAATTACTTCCAAGAAACAACGGGGGTACAGGTACTGGGAAAATATTCCCATTCCAAATGGAATGAATTGGCCCAAAAAAAGGGGCTACAGGACCCATGCAAGTCCATCCACTGGGGCAGTCATTAAATCTTAAAGCTCCTAATCTCCTTTTACTCCATGTTTCACATCTAGGTCATGCTGATGCAAGGGGTGGGCTCCTTCAGTCTTGGAAAGCTCTGCCCCTGTGGCTGGCAGGGTACAGACCTCTTCCTGGTTGCTTTCACAGGTTGGCATTGAGTGTCTGTGGCTTTTCCAGATGCATGGTGCAAGCTGTTGGTGGATCTACAATTCTGGGGTCTGGAGGACAGTGGCCCTCTTCTCACAGATCCACTAGGCAGGACCCCAGTAGGGACTCTATGTGGGGCTCCAACCCCACATTTCCTTTCCACACTGCCCTAACAGAGGTTCTCCATGAGGGCTCCATCCCTGCAGCAAACTCTTGCCTGAACATCCAGGCATTTCCATACATCCCCCGAAATCTAGGCAGAGGTTCCCAGGCCTCAATTCTTGTCTTCTGTGTGCCCACAGGCCCAACACCATGTGAAAGTTGCCAAGGCTTGGCGCATGCACCCTCTGAAGCAATGGCCTGAGCTGTACATTGGCTACCTCAGCAGCAAGGCCCTGAGCCCAGCCCACAAAACTACTTTTTCCTTTTAGGCCTTTGGGCCTGTGATGAGAGGGACTGCCATGAAGACCTCTGACATGCCCCAGAGATATTTTCCCTGTTGTCTTGGCAATTAACACTTGGCTTCTCATTATTTATGCAAATTTCTGCAGACCACTTGAATTTCTCCCCTGAAAATGGGTGTTTCTTTTCTATTGCATGGTCAGGCTGCAAATTTACCAAACTTTTATGCTCTGTTCCCCTTTTAAACATATGTTCCAATTTCAACCAATCTCTATGAACACATAAAACTGAAAGCTTTCAGAATCAACCAGGTCATATCTTGAATGTTAGAAATTTCTTCTTCCAGATACCCTAAATCATCTCTTTCAAGTTCAGAGTTCCACAGATCTCTAGAGCAGGGGCAAAATACCACCAGTCTCTTTGCTAAAGCATAGCAAGAGTCACCTTTATTCCAGTTCCCAACAAGTTCCTCATCTCCATCTGACACCATCTCAGTCAGAACTTCATCGTCCATATCATTATCAGCATTTTGGTCAATCCCATTCAACAAGACTCTAGGAGGTTCCAAGCTTTCCCATATCGTCCTGTCTTCTGGGCCATCCAAACTGTTCCAATCTCTGCCCATTACTTAGTTCCAAAGTCGCTTCCATATTTTTGTGTATCTTTATAGCAATACCCTACTCTCTGCAGTACCAATTAACTATATTAGTCTATTCTCACATGCTATAAAGAAATACACGAGGCTGGGTAATTTACAGAGGAATGAGTTTTAATTGACTCACAGTTCCATATGGCTAGGGAGGCCTCAGTAAACTTCAATCATGGCAGAAGGTGAGGGAGAAGCAGGGACCTTCTTCACATGGCAGCAAGAGAGAAAAGCATGAAGAGCCAAGGGGGAAAAGCCCCTTATAAAATGATCAGATTTCATGAGAAGTCGCTCACTATCATGAGAACAGCATGGGGAAAATCATCCCCATGATCCAATCACCTCCTACCAGGTCTCTCCTTAGACACGTGGGGATTATGAATATTACAATTCAAGATAAGGTTTGGGTGGGGATACAGCCAAACTATATCCGTTTGGATCTGTTCCCACCCAAATTTCATGTCAAACTGTAATCTCCAGTGTTGAAGCTGGGGCCTGGTGGGAGGTGTTTGGATCATGGGGGTTGTTTCTTATGAATGGTTTACAGCATCCTCTTGGTGCCGTTCTCCTGATAGTGAGTTCTTACAAGATAAGGTTGTTTAAAGTGTGCAGCCCCTCCCTCCTTGCTCTCTTTCTCTCTTGCTTCTGCTCCCACCTTGTGAGATGCCTCACTCCCTTTGTCTTCCACCATGATCGTACGTTTCTTGGGGCCTCCCCAGAAGCTGAGCAGATGCCAGAATCATGCTTCCTGTATGTAGAGCCTGTGGAATTGTGGGCCAATTATACCTCTTTTCTTCATAAACTCTGCAGTCTCAAAGGAGAAATACATTCTTAAATTGTTTTTAAAAAAACAAAATCCCATAAAACCTAAGTAGCTGGGAAAAACAGTACAATAAGTGGACATAAGACAAAAGAGCATCCCATAGGAAACACTGCTGTCATTCCTCTAAAAGTCCACACGGTGTCATCATCACACCATGAATGGTTTCTGTCTCAGGTTAAAAAACTTTTAAACATGGAAAGTAAATTTTCTTTTTGAACGTGGTTCCAGACATGATCTTCACACCATATTTATCAAATCCCACACTTATGCACTATCAAGGAATACAGTGAAATGATAAACTTTTTATAATTCTCAAGTAATAATCTCTCTCAAATAATTTGCCAAATGAATGAACACTTTTTTTTTTTTTTAAGACGGAGTCTTGTTCTGTCACCAGGCTGGAGTGCAGTGGTGTGATGTCGTCTTACAGCAACCTCCACCTCCCGGGTTCAAATGATTCCTCTGCCTCAGCCAGGCATGTACCACTCCACCTGGCTAATTTTTTGTATTTCTTTTTAGTAAAGACGGGGTTTCACCATGTTGGCCAGGCTGATCTCAAACTCCCGACCTCCTGATCCACCCGCCTCGGCCTCCCAAGTGCTGGAATTATAGGCGTGAGCCACCACACCCGGCCATGGACACATATTCACAGTGGATTATCTGTCTTTTTCTATATCCAAAGGAGTGTCTGTATACACGTCGAATTTTATACAGACAATTATTCTCAGTCTCTTCGGAAAACATAAAAATGTTCTAACTCTAACTGCTACATCACAAAAATCTAGAAAGAAAAACTGGTTCAAGGCATCTTTGGGTTAGTTCCCAGAAACTTACAATGTAAATTTTTAAAAGACCCAATACAACATTACTCAACACTAAAAAAAATTGAGATTAATGTTGCCAAATTGAGTTCATTGGGTTTATACTCTTAAAAGCAAAAAACGAAAAACTGTCAAACCTAAGTCAAAGAACTAAATTCTGAACCCCTTAATTACTTAATGCCTTAAATCCAAAAGTGGGTGAGAGAAAATGTGGAAGAATCAGTAAACTCAGATAGTTTCTTTTAATCATTTCTTAACAGTGGCATTTTGGTAAAGGAATTTGAATTTAAATTATTAGGAGAATTTCATAGTAAAATTTTAGGATTTTAGCCTTCTGTTCTTTCTCCAAATTATCATGGATATAAAAAATAACTACTATGCTTTCCTTTTAAAAGTTATTTAACATTTCATTTTTAAACTGAAGAAAGTATTTTCAAAAACTTTCCCAACTGTTGTTTGAGGACATAATTTGAAATTATGTAAAATAAAGTGGGGAAGATGATTATCTGTGTTAAATCACACATCAGATGAATTCAGTCACATGTGTTCTCTTATATTTACTATGACAGAGCACTGCAATATCAACTCAAGTTCGTCTGCATTCCCTAGCATACAAAATTTACATCCCCCATAAACCAGCTTAATGTCCCTTTAAAGGAAAAACACACCAAGAAAAACCTCGAGTACAGTTTTGAAACATGCTACAGGTTGCAGACATCTGCTCTGATTCGGGAATGCAAAAGCAAACAGAAATCTAACTCAGAAGTCCACACACTCAATAGAGTCTGAGTCTCTGTTAACTTCTCAAGGTGGGAATATTGCTTCTTTGGCGGGAAAAAAAAAGTTACCTTATATTGTATGATTGCCACCTCAAATTCTTATTTCAAAGTGACTTTGACTCCAAAAGAATAATGAGACCAAAAAATTCCCCTTAATTATACTTCTACAAAGCTGTTTAATAAGGGAATTACTTGAGTTTGTGAACATCAAAATTGGACTATTTTTAAGAATATTACGATTAGTAACGAAAAATAAACACTGTACTGACTGTTAACTGTGTGGAAGCATGTACAGCTACTGCTCAACTTACAACCACGATTGTGCCAACAGACTGGTCGTAACACGATTTGGTCGTAAGTTGAGTAGGCTATATGTACAGTACTGTGAAATGATGTTATAAAAATCTTTGTCATATTTTATAATTTTCTTTCATTATTGTTATATATCATAATTTTCTTTGTTCATTTTATGCCATTTGTATCATCTCTACACCATTTTGTTTCTTATTTTTACATTCATCAGGTTTAAGTAAAACACTGCATTACCAGTACAACTGGTTTAATATTTGCAAAACATACAAAATTACAAAATACAGGTGCATACAAAAATACAAAATACACGTGTAAAAAATACCACAGGAAACATTTTCCCAATTGCTAAACATATCAAAATATACAAATATGTAAGAAACATTTTATTGGCCACTGGTGCTTGGCTGTGGATCGTTGATGTTGTCATCTGAGGCAGCAGTTGGGGTTACCGGAGTTGGTTTTTTCATAAACATGGTGAGCTTTGTCTGAATTGTATGTTTCTTTTTTCCTTCATAAATTTCACGATACGGACGAGACACATTGTGCACCATCCGTTCAATCCTTGCAAATCGTTCGATGTTTGGGTCCATTGCTTAGAAATGTATAAGAAGTTTATTCAGTAAAGATAAACCATCTGATAATCCCTTAGTGGTGAACTTTCTTTCTGGCTCTCCTCTTCTTTCTCTGCTTCTCTTCTTTCTTCTTCCGCCACTCTTTCTTCTTCCAATTTGATTAGCTCTTCATTTGTAAGTTCTCTAAATTCTTTGTCTAGCAACTCTTCGACATCTTCCATTTCACACTCCAAAGAAAGGTCTTTAGTGAGTTTTACTATTTTTTCCCGAATAGTTTCAAGTTCATGTTCACTGTCATATCCGTCAAAATCATTAACATGGCACTTAACACAATTTTTCCAGGTGCCATTCATGCACTTTGTCGTCACAGCCTCCCAGGCGGTAGCAATATTCTTGATACACAACAAAATGTTGTAATGTTTCCAAAAATCTACAGCGGAGCAGTCGTGGCTAGCGACTGTGGTCGTAAAGTCGAATGGTCGTAAGTTGCATAGGTCGAACGTCGATCAATACCTGTATGCATATTTGTATAGATGTAGAAAAAAGACTGAAATAATGTACACCAAAATGCTAACAATGATTTTGGTGTATTTAAATTTATTTTATTTTCCATAAATTTTCCACAGCAAATATAAATTAACTATAAAATAGAAATGATTTTTAAAGTAATTCAATCCCATAAATTCTTCCTAGATTAGTATTAAACAGAGACAGCATTTTTATATTGGAATTTGGACCCAAACCTTTAGGTAGGCCACAAATATTAAGATTTACCTTAAATACGTATTTCCCATGTCAACAATTGTGTATTTTAAAACCATCAAATTCTAGAATTAAGGAATGGCTTTATAGCCTTTCATTAATTTTATCACTTGAGATATAAAAATGGATATATATTTATAAATAACCTTCACATATTCTTTCAACTTATCATTCTCGGCTTCCTTTTTATGGATTTGGAACTGTAGTCGTTCATGTACTACTTTTACTGATTGAGAAAAACGGTTTGCTTTCAAAGTATTTGCCTGTAACAAAGAGAAAGAGAAAACCAAAATATATATATGTAATATATATTATATAAAATATATATAATATATAACACAAAATATATATTATAATATATAATATAGTATTTCCCATGTCAATATATAATACATATAATATATATTTTATATTATATATTATATATATTATTTATATTTTATATTTTATATAATATATATTTTATTTATATAATATATATTTATATATATAATAAAATATATTTATATATTTATATATAATAATATATATATATCATTTGCTATATCCCCAGCCCAATATCTTTCATTTTACTCCAGTTTAGGCACAATCTAAAGCACTGCATTACATAAACTGCCATCCCTATTACAATTGTATTTCATGCCAAACCAGGGGTAAGATTTTCCCCCCAACCCTTTTGATTTAATGGCTCCTGATAATCATTTCATTTTTAAAACTCCCATCTATCTTCCTAAATAAAGTTAACGGTATACCTAAATTGCTCCTAAAAACACTAAAATTCCTTAATTTTTCCCCCAATTGAAATACAATACAAATTTAAAATAGTTCCTAATATGAAGTGATTTATGCCAAGTATCCTGACAAACACCATAAAACTCTAAAAAATAAAATTAGTAAAATTAAGATGCTGTATTTGATAGGTAAAACCTGTAAAATATCCAAATCGTCTAGAATTTCAAAACACTTTTCTGTGTTTACTTCTGAGGAGCTGGGGCCCAGATGGGGAAAAAAAGGGAGTCAATATTAATATAATGAATTAAGCTCAAAAACTCAAATTTTGCTTACCTTTTCATTCTGAAACAAACAAGAAAGTTCTTGGATATGGGCCTCCTTTTCAAATACCTTCTTCTTAAGATTCTTCAGCAAATATAAAATAAGAGTTAGAAATTTCACAACTTGTATAATATTGGCTAATATTATAAAACCAAGTAGTATGCAAATAACAATGACAGAAAGAATGAACACAAAGTAAGTGTGGAAAGACTTACAGCATTTTCACTTTCATTATCAGTTAGATTTTCTAGCGACATGCTGGGTAAATTGTTTCCTGTCTGAAAAAAGAACATTATAAATCAGTGTTCACAAATTATATTTCTCTATGTAAATAAGTAGGAAGTGGAATAAGCTTAGTCAAGAAATTAATATGACTTTAATTTAGATTTTT